TGTCCAATTAAAAACTGGACTAGTCCACTGCCCAATAAAAAAATGGACGATTTGCAAAAAAATTGGAACTAAAATGGGATATGTCCAACTGTCCAGTCCAGTTTGTTCTAGTTTTTGAAACTGGACATAGTCCAGTGCCCAACACTGACTACAGGATTTAAGCCAGAATAGTAGTTAGTTTTAACCATTTTATGGGTGTAGTGAAATTATAGCAAATTATAGCTGTTTTAGTGATTTATAGCATTTTTAGCTGATTTAGCAATATTATACTATAATACAACCATATTCATTTTTATTCGATTGTTCGGGTGAAAACAGATTCATATTTTTTGATTCGGTTAAATTAGACCCGGTCACCATGGACGGCTAAACTATGCATATCGCCTTTAGCTAAAATTTGTATCACATATGATCTCTGCCAGTTCCTCGATAGTTCTAGAAGTGTTCTAGGAGCTGGCGAGTTTCGATAAATCACGAGATGAGGTACAGATCGGCCAATCAGATTCCAGATTTTTTCTTTAGCTGGATAGCCTTTGATTCGGAAAAATTATTACAACTATTTTTTCTGATGGACACCGTGACTTAATTGCACAGAAGCGAGATCAACATCCAGTTAAATTTGTCTCCCGAATGAATATGAAAAAAGTGGTTAAATTTATCTCCTGAAAAAGCCAAATGCGTGACTAGATTATTTTTCTGATGGTAGAGTCTGGACACAGTGTTCAGGCTCAACTTAATTGCGTAGAAAAAAGGATTAATCACATAGTGCAATAGTCAGCAAATTAGCCATGTTTTTTATTTGAAATCTTATTGGAAGTAGCAAATTATTTTTCATGATTCACATTATATTACATTTGGTAGTGATCACTAGAACACACTTTAAAATAAATCCGATATGGGAAATGCTTTATTAATATATGTTTAAAAATGCACATGTAAAAAAAAATACTATTTTTCTGATGACAGAGTCTGGACACAATGTCCGAGCTCGTCAAAATTGCGAAGAAACGGCGTAGTAAACTATCAAACTTTCTGCTTTAAGATTTCAGCCATACTGACCTATACTACAATGAATATAGTGTAATAAAATCGGCATATAAGCTTTATTATGTTAAACGTTCCAATGTACAGTTATACATCCAAATACACGAAATAAAAAAATAATAAGGGCGAACAATGCTTTATTGATACAATATATGTGATGGAAACTAGTAAGCCATTGCATTCAGTTTTTGATTATATCAAGCCATCATAATAGATGTAGCAATTAATGATTAAAATTCAAACTATCTAAAACTAGAAAATCTAAAATAAACTTTCAAGATCTTGAATTAATTGGTTATAGTCTAATTCATCTACTGAATTATAAATTTGAGCCCATACAACTGATTGTTTACTATCATTCCAGAAATCTAATAATATTTGTGCTCGTTGTTTGATATCATCTGATTTTTTGAAGGGAACTCTTTCCAGTGATGGTCTATAGAGCATTAGATAGAATGAACGCATAAAACAGATCAAATCAACTTGTGGTCCATTAGTAATTGCTTCATCATCGATTAATGATTGCAAGATGTTGTCTGGCATGCACTCTAATGCTCCTGCAAAAGATACGGTACTTTCATCATCTATGCTATAACCCTAGTCAACAATAATAATATTCTCCCTTAAATCATCTATATTACGAATAAAGTTAAATTTTCTGATATCTCTATGTATAATCCCAAGTGAATGAACATCTCGAAGGGTGGTAATTATATTTCTGATGTCTTCTCTTCGCAGATTATTAACTCTCACACCAATTGGAGTCATAACAAGGGCGTTATCATTGTAACAAAGGATTTTTGGAATATGAGGCGAATCCAACGTTGACAGATTCTCTAAAACTTTTATTTCCGTCTCAAAGTAAGACAAATAATCCCTCTTCTTTGCCATTTTCACAGCCACAGATTCAGATTCATTAAGTTTCCCTTCATATACAATACTTGTTCTTCCCACACTGATAGATCGAATTAGTTTTACAGTATCATTTCCAAAGTTCAACGATGGTTCAACCCATCCCAAGTCTTGCGGAGAGCTTTCCATAATTATTACCAGGTACTTCCATCCATTTTCATTTATTGTAGAGTTATACATTAAAGGCACGGATGGCACAAATTCATATCTGTACTGGGTCTGTCGATGGGAATCAACCCTAATCACCTTATAGATACTAATGTTGACACAATTTGTCAAAAGTACTAAAACAGAACTTCGCCGTGGCTGAAGTTGGAGTAGTTTTTCTCTAAATGATATTGTTTGTCCTATTTGCGCACTGTTAAAGTTTTCACCAGTTCGTTTCTTTACCTCACCGATGGCCATAATATTTAAGTAATCTACATTTGTATTTTTTCGAATAAATACAAAGTTTGGCTTCCGAGTTCCTAGTACTGGAGATTGACGTGTATCTTCAACAGTAAGTTTAAGCTTGCCTTTTATAGGACCATAATTTTCTAGTACACTACACTCGCTCATGAAATAATCTTGTATTTCTTTTTCACTTGCGTCTCTATCAAGTACGTCTGAAAATTTTCCAGGCGCACGTCCTTTAGTACTTTCAGTTAAGTTGAGCGGGAAGGCAATTTCTGTTTCTTCTTCTAGTACAGTTTGACCTAATTGAGTTTCCGTTACAAAATCTAAACACGAAACGTTAATGGTATTTGTAGAAATGATTGATGAACCAGATGAAAAACATACCTGATGAAAGACCCGATGCTTCCACAATGCGGTATACCTTTCTAAAACCACTTTCCACTCTAAAACTAAGATCTTCAATCCCTTTTCGCAGAAAAGCTACATCTTGATTACCTACAAAAGAATTTAATATCACTGGTTAAGAAATGAGAAAGCAGAATATTCGATATTATTATAGAAGAAAAATCAAGCCAAGACGTGTTGGCCAAATTTATTACGACTCACTTACCACTAGCAACCGGTTGCTTTGTGATAACGCGAATGTATTTTTTGGGCGGGTTTGACGATAAGAAGCAGGAAAAAAAGCACAAGAATAAGTAAGTATTCGGTATTATTGGCGAATATGACAGCATGCGCAAGGTTGAAACATACCAGGCATGGATATTAAAGACTTCAAGTAACCCCGCTTCTCATCATCCGTTGTGTAGTCAGAAAGAAAAGTCACGACAACATTTATTTGTTCTACGTTTCGAGTGAAGTATTTACGCAAACTGTCTTGCTCATTTAGAGTGAAACCAAGATGATTAATTTCCGTTCTAAAAGTCATTAGTGCTTCCATTTTGGTATTACAAATTGCTTAATCCGAGAAAGAAATTTTTTTGGGTTATGAGAGTATATATGAAAAATCGAATGTCGTACAGATTGATCTGACTCATTACTCATTAGTTAATTACTGACTTAATACAGATATCTGTCTAGGGATGGGAAATTAACAGTTAATTAAGATTTGGTTAATTAACCGATAATTAACGGTTAATTAACCGTTAATTAACCGTAATATAAATTTTATAAGATTTTATATAAAAAAAAAATTTTTTTAATTTTTTATTTATCGTTATCGCAATATTATTTATTAAACAGAAATTTATTATTTCAAATAGCTATATATTGATATTGTTACAATAAATTTATTACATTTGATTCAAATCCGAAAATA